GAGCCTTCACACTGCTGCTACTGCTGTCCCTGACTGCACAGCAGCATTTTTTCCCTCCCATCTCCCACCCCAGCATTTTTTGACAGCCATGGGACAGCAGCTGTGCTTTGCCCTCATCCTTCTGTGATCTGAAGGGTGGTGTGCCCCTCCCCCAGTGGATCGTAGATCCACCTGTGTCTGAAAGCATTGCATCTTATCAGACTTTTTTCCTTCTTTTAAGCTCTTGAACATAAAAGATTTCCAGATCAAACAAGGGTACCATATCCTTGTAGCGCTTAAGGAAAGAAACCAGGTTCCAGAAACGCCATGGACCAGCTTTCATTTGCTTGAAGTGTGGTTGTTGGGTGTTCTTCTGTGTTGGTGTATAAATTATCCTTGTGTCGACAATACAAGTCAGATGCATAGCTGTTTGCTGAGTGTTGTGCAAGGACTGGTTGATCTCTTACTTATCAAATTAAATCTAATCCAATACAGTGCTTGATTTGCCTGTATAACAGATGTAAGCAAACAGTAACACTCACATCTGTTATTTCTGTCCTATAACCTGCCCCTGAATGACGCACATTTATCTTTTTGAAGGTCTCGTGAAGGGAAAAGATCTTAACTTGAGTGAGTATCTGAATAGCAGCAGCTCGAGAGCAAATCAGGGTCTGTTTCTGAGCCTCCTGCCAACCCCACACACCTAAAGAGGCCCATAGACTAGCCTATGTGCTGGTCCGATCCAGCATACAAGGTCTGGGGCCGCACGGCCTCATCCAGCATGGCCTGTCTGGGGCTGTGCAGCATGTGGCCTGGTCTGGCATGACTGGTCCAGGGCTGCGTGGCACAGGTCTGGAAATTTGGTGGGGAAAGGAAGGAGGGGAAGGAGTCATGGCAGCATTAATTGCCGTGGCTCCCAGCAATTAATGCTGCTGCTGCCCCCACTACAGTTCTGGGACCAGTGAGGATGCCTTTTTCTCTCATAATGTGCAGCCTGATTTTTCACCTGCTGCTTTTGTGGGAAAAGGTACACGTTATAAGTGAGAAAATATGCAGGGTGGATCACTTTTTTTTTTTTTTTTTTAATTTAAAAAAAATGGATTTTTTTTTTAAATCAGACTTTCTAATATTTTTTTTAAAGATGCTTTTTAAAAAAAATATATCTATATAGAGTTTTAATGTAAGATATGTTAAAGTTCAAAGATATGGAATAGGGGTTTTAACTTCTGACTATATACTATTTAAGACTATTCATGTAACTTTTTTAGAAAACGTTTATAAACAGATCACAACAGACTGTGGACTATATTAGGGGCTCAATTTTATGGGCTTCCCAGAGGCTTCTTTATAGATTAGTGAAGATTTAAGAAAGCCACTCTATCCAGTGGGACATAGTGCTTGGAGCTGATCTTGGAGCTTTCTGTTTGAAGCCAGTTTGTAAATGTTTACGGGTATTGTTCTGTCACCTTTGGGGCATTAAGGCAGTTTGAGGCTTGTGCTTTCTAAGCAGGTGACTCATTGATGAGAAGAGAGCTGCGCCCCTCTTTGTCAGTACGGTATCAATACCCGGGTCTGAAAGGTGACAGGCTCTAAGAAAGCTTTTTTCCCTACGAAGTGTATTGGGAATGAAGCTTAGTAAAAGTACACTTAGGAGTTTTCAGCTGACGTGATTTGAGAGAGACTGGGCACGCAGGCATTTGGTGTTAGCAATGGAAAATCCGTTGTGGGAGCAAGATTTACTCAAGTTGGTAATACATGGTATTCAGCAGGCTCGAAACTGCCATTTTTAATTAAAAAATCTTCTGAATGCACTAAAAAATGTGAAGGCTTTTTAAAATATTCATGTTTCGTAACTCCCTGTGCAATAAGACCGAGCCTAGACTTCAGTTATCCACATGGGCATCAATTACTTTTATTTTCTTCATTCCATCAGAGGCTACAACTTCATTTTGGGATGTTCGTATAAATTGGGCTTTCCTGTATTGAAAGAAGGAACATATTGGGGCTTGTGGGCAGCTGGTTAATCCCCAGAGGCAAATTCCAAGCAGCTTTGCCAACATAAGACACTTGTAGTGGCACCAAAACAGAGGGTAGGCTGAAGTACTAATACAGATGGGAAAGCCCATAACTACAGCATTGAAGAAGAAAAGAAAATTGCCCAATTTGGGGCATGTCTCATGTTCTCAATAGTGAGAGAGAGAGAGTGGCTCTTCACACTAATTCATACAGCTTTCGTAAGGTTTCGGATACCCAGCTTCTCTTCTGGTCTTCTCATCTGCTGGTGTGAGGTTATCCTACAAGAAGGACTTAAATATTAACAGCCTCCACTTGTCCTGATCCCATTTTTCCTGCCTGAAACTTGTTTGCTTCAAAAGCAAATGAAAATCATGACAGTTTTCATATAAGATTGCTTTTAAGGACTGGCATTTCTGAAAGCTGCCTCCTGTGGTATGTCTAGAACAGCAGATGTAAAAGCCTCCTTGAAAATGGATTTGCTGCAGATGCTTTTAAGGGGCATTGTAGCAAGGGAGAGTAGATGACCCCTCACCAGTTTTCACCCAGCCTAGTTGGGCCTTCGCCTCTCCCTCTGTTCATTTGCCTGTCCCTGGGCTTCTGTACTTCCCTGGGATCTGTAGAGTTATGGGGGTAATAAACTCTCCCATCTGCTGCTCCAGCAGTTAAAGGCTTTTGGCTCAGGCTGCCTGTCCTTTGTGTAGGGATCCCTGGAAGGAAGAAAGTCTTCTGTTTCCTAAACTCAAAGCAGCATTAATTAGGTTGCAGTTTTACTGGTGGAAACACCTGTACAGCCTCAGGCAGACCACAACAGAGCTTCCTTGGAGAAGTAAGCCTGACGTCCCCATGGTAGCAGTGGAGAACTACAGGCTATTTCTCTCATTTGTATTGATCACTTATGCTGACTTGGAGACAAATGAGCATGTCCACAAAGTGCTGTTGACTACACAAAGTAAACTGGAAGAAGGAGCTCTTTTTTTGTTTTCACTTGTAATCATCTGAAGTGTTTCAAGAAATATTAGTGATTAGCATTTTTTTTTAGACATGTTTGGGGCTTTTAAAACAAATCCCCTTTCTAAAATGTTACTGGTTGAAATAAGCAGACAAGGTTCTTTGGGTGAATCTGATATCTTTTATAGATATCAAGTTCACCCAAAGAACCTTATCTGCCTATGTCCTTAGACCGTCACAGCTATAACCTGCACCCCTGTAACTGGTTGAAATATTCTTTTTTGGTAAGCATTCAGTCATTGACATTAGGTTTGAGCTGCTTAAACAAATTCTTGCCAGCACAAGTCAGGTTAGCTATTCTCTTTTTGAGTCTGTGATGTATAGCAAGTTGCTTGCGTGTGCAACATGATAAAAAAAGATTGCATATTTTAGGAAGGGAGTTTCCTGCCGTTATGTTCTAGTAAACTTTTTTAAGAGTAAAATTTTGGCTTTGCAGTATGACACTTTTATGTAAATATACTTTGAGAGTTTCAAGCCCACACAAGTAGGTTAAGATTATGCCACATATGTTATGGGAACTGACAGGCTTAGTTGAGTGGACAGTTCTTTTTCCAGCGTGTAATCAAATGAGATGAGATAAAGCACAAATGATATCAAAAGTTATTGGTGGGAAGGATTCTGGATTGATGTTTCAGTAAATCTCACTTTGAGGATGTTGCAGGAACTTACCTCAAGCTGTTTATTTAGTGCATGCACTTCCCTAAAGTTTCTCCCTGTTTGACTTGCCTTAACTGAACACTTGTCAGAAAAAAGGGAAGGGGGTCAGTGAAATGTTGGTTAATGTGCGTGTGCATGCGTGCCTCTTTCTCTTTGCAAGGATTTAGATGTTCAGCAAGCATCTAGAAACGGTGGCTAACAAAATGTACCCCAGAAGTGTGTAGACATCTAATTGCTAAGGCACCCATAAATGTATTCAGTACCATACACTCATGGTTGACATCTTGCACCTGATTTTTTTTTTTCCCTTCTCTACCAGTAGGGCAGTTATCTAAGGTGGGTTGTACACTAGCTTTTTAAAAAAAAATTCTGTTTATAGGAGCTCCAGCAAGAGTCAAGGCTACAAGTGGCTGCCAGTATATTGGGCACCATTACCTAATCTTTCCGAGAGCAGGTCTATTTGACGTGGCAATAAAAGGCTATCTCTACCAGGTTGGCCAACCTGCAGCACTGGTGCCACAAGTGGCACAGACGGCCTGTGTGTGTGACACATGGCAGATTGAAAAGAGATCTGAGTGGCACTTGGGCAGTTAGTGGGGCTAACGGTACAAATATTCCCACTACTGCTGTCACCAGTGCAGCTCAACCTATTAGTGACATGGTAGATTTGTCAAAGCAGCTGATGCAGAAAGAGCTAAAAGGAGTCGACTTGAACACCTGAGTACCAACAGTTCACCTTTGCTCCCCACACCGTAGGGGACCTAGAACCTGGTTGCAAGTAGATCCTTAGCCTACAATAAAGAAACGGAATTTCTTTTCATTTACTTTGACACCTAATAGATCACTTTTGTCAGTAGGGTTGATGTTCCATAAAATTCATTTTGTTACTTTGTCATGTGCAAACATGGAAAATTATATTGCTTCACTTATAGCTTGTCAGCATCTCTGGGGGGTATAGTTCCACATTCCTCTGTGAGAAATGCTAGGGAAGTCTCTTCATTCGTTTAAAAAAGGCCTCATACTAAAGGCAAGATGGCCTGGAAAGCATTGTCCTCAGTGATTTGTTGTCATACAGTATAATGTAAGAGGGTTTTTTTATAAGGACTTCCTTAATCCGTTGAATGATTCTGTTGCAGTATGTGCAAATGTCACCTTTTAGAAATCAAAGATTGATGTGAAAATAACCAAGCTAAGTAGTTTTTGCTTTCACTAACTTGACTTGTGGAGAAAAGAGGCTTCTGGTTTCACCCACAGCAGAACTTTAAAATAAGGGACTTTTCTAATTTTTGAAAACCACAAGGAAAATCTTAATTAAATTTCCATTTCTTTCTTCTCAACAGGTTGCAAAATAAAAGCACTAAGGGCCAAGACAAATACTTATATTAAGACCCCTGTTCGTGGAGAAGAACCCATTTTTGTTGTCACTGGACGAAAAGAGGATGTAGCCATGGCCAAAAGGGAAATTCTCTCAGCTGCTGAACACTTCTCCATGATCAGAGCATCACGCAACAAAAACGGTCCTGCCTTGGGAGGGTTACCATGTACTCCCAATTTGCCAGGTCAAACCACAGTTCAAGTCAGGGTGCCTTACCGTGTAGTAGGGCTAGTGGTTGGACCCAAAGGAGCTACAATCAAAAGAATTCAGCAGCAAACACACACATACATAGTTACTCCCAGCAGAGACAAGGAGCCTGTCTTCGAGGTTACAGGCATGCCTGAAAATGTGGATCGTGCACGTGAAGAAATAGAAATGCATATTGCCATGCGTACTGGAAACTACATTGAGCTGAACGAAGAGAACGATTTCCATTACAACGGTACAGATGTCAGTTTTGAAGGAGGCACACTTGGATCTGCTTGGCTTACTTCCAATCCTGTCCCTCCTAGCCGCACCAGAATGATTTCTAATTACAGAAATGACAGCTCCAGCTCCTTAGGAAGTGGCTCTACAGATTCTTATTTTGGAAGCAATAGATTGGCTGACTTCAGCCCAACAAGCCCATTCAGCACAGGAAACTTTTGGTTTGGAGAAACATTGCCGCCTGTGGGGACAGAAGATCTTGCAGTTGATTCTCCTGCATATGACTCTTTACCAACACCTTCCCAAACTATCTGGACTCCTTTTGAACCAGTAAACCCACTCTCTGGCTTCGGTGGTGATCCTACTGGTAACATGAAGACTCAGCGTCGAGGAAGTCAGCCATCCACTCCTCGTCTGTCGCCTACATTTCCCGAAACTCTGGAACACCCACTTGGTAGGAGATTAAGAAATGATCCACCCGGTACAGGCAACCAGGCTGGCCTTCCTATATACATCCCTGCTTTTTCTAATGGTACCAACAGCTACTCCTCTTCCAATGGTGGTTCCACATCCAGCTCACCTCCTGAGTCGAGACGAAAGCACGACTGTGTGATATGCTTTGAGAACGAAGTTATTGCTGCCCTAGTTCCATGTGGCCACAATCTCTTTTGCATGGAATGTGCCAACAAGATCTGTGAAAAAGAAACGCCATCATGTCCAGTTTGCCAGACAGCTGTTACTCAGGCAATCCAAATTCACTCTTAAATATATATAGATATTATATATGGACTTTTTAAATTCTCAAAGGCATGGGTGTAGTGGTACCCACTAGTAAACTTCCTAATGAATTCTGACTGTTGGGCTTTCTTGGGATTAGGCTAAAGTTGTTAATAAATTTATACTTTCTAAAGGCTGCTATGGTAACACTAAACCTAGGTGGTCTCTGTCCAGTTTGGTTTAAACAGATGGCATGTTTAGCAGAGATACATCAGGTATAAGGTTAAGGCACAGTAGGGGGAAGTTTAGATCAATTGTATAACGAGGAAAACAGATGAATTTTTAGAGGCTTTCTCAGTGATCTGTATTAAATGTTGGTAATTTCTATGTCTGGAGGCAATGAACCCCATAGCCCAAGCATAGAAATACTAGTCTGCTGTGGAGGGTTTGTGGCATTATTGATGTATCAAACACACTTCCAATGCTGCCTTAATTACACTGCCAGTTTTGAAAAACAGGTTTTGGGGGGTTTTGTTGCTGTTTCTGTTAGGTTGGTTTGGGTTTTTTTTTTTTTTACTTTACAACAACTTATGCCTAATTCCTCAGCATTTGCAAATAATTTTTAAAGCATAATTTGATGTATTGGAATGGGTAAGGTTGTTGGCAGTTTTAAATGGATCACTGTTCAGTTTTGGGGGGTGGGAAGGGAAACTGTCAAATTAACCTTCATCTCGCCCAGTGTTATAATGTGGTGTGTTCAGAGGATCAGGAACATATTGGTCTCCTTCATTGTGAATTCCTACCCACTACTTTTTCTTAATGTGATGTGGAAAAGTCTGGCTGGCTTAATCCCATTTCAGTAAGGGCTTTGGGATGCACATACTTTGGCTAATAGCAAGGATGCTAACATTCCATTCGTTAGTCTGATCAAGCTGTTCTTAAATTACATTTTAGAGAGAATATATCGTTCAAAATGTGAAGCATTTTTATGTTCAATCCATACTTGTCTTGCACATTATAAATATATATATTTTATTTTAGTAACGTAAAGGAAAAAGGGGGAGGCGTGTATGTGCCCTTGTACAGTTCATGGAAGCAGCTGTGACAGTGGCCCTGCAATCAGTTTACTTCATTTCAGGACTATTTCTAATCGCAAGGAGAAATGTCTTTTGAATATGCTTCTTACATTTCAACCTGTGGATGTCTAGCTTTTTTCATCCTCAGTACGTTCCCAAATCTGTACTGGCATATTTAAAACAAAACACACAAAAAACAAAAAAAAAACCCCACAGGCAAAGTGGAGTTCTAGTGAATTTTTCTAATTTTCTTTTCCTTGAAGCATTATTTTCCCAAGACAAAAAAAAAAAAAGGCTTTTTCTCAGTATAATAAAAAAATTCTATGTGTATTGAACTAGTAAATATACAGAAATTTTATTTTTTATTTCCACTTGAAGAGTTACATTTCGTATCAAAGTTTACAAATAACGGTTTTTATTTTATGATTTTCGGTATAAGAGTTGCCTTGATGGCATATTATGTAATGCAAAACTTTAATGCTAATTGCTTGTAGAATAGTTAAATGTCAGTATTTGAAACCTAATCTTTAGCTGCAGTCTTGTAGATATGAACAAATGTTCACCGAGCATGTATTTTGTATTTTATTGCATTGTACACTGCAACTAATAAGCCAAGGAACCGACAGACGTTAGGTGCGTGTACCATTTCTATAAACCACAAACTAAGAATGACAAACTATCGATATAGTTTAGTATTTGCTAATTTTACTACACTTTTTGTTATGTATATGTAGGGAAGTCATAGGGATTATAAATTCAATTTGAGTAAAGTTTAAAAACCATATATTTTATGATAAAGGGCCTTTAACTTATGATGGCCAAAGCACTGATATTATATATTTGCTGTAAAGAGAATTATAAGAGTTTTATTTTTCTGATATTAAAAAGTTACTTAATAAAGACTTGTTTCCATTAACTTGAATGCTTTGCTGTCTTCATAGTTATCAATTCAAGCACCTTAGCTCCCTTTACTGCCCCCTCAAAATTGGGAATTGTATAACTTTGTGCTCTGTGCACATGGAGAGCATTTCAGTCTTCATCCTATAGTACAGATCACTTCACTTCACTTGATCATTCTTCCCTGTTCACACATTTGTTTTATATAAAACCTTTAAAGAAACAACGATGGCTTTCCAATATTCAGAGAGTTACAGTGGTGCTTCAGCATCTGAGAGCACAGTCCAATTTAAAATAAAATAACTTAGATGTACTTTGAAAGGCAGTGGCTTCTTATGGTGGTATCTTTATCCCAACTACATCATTGGTCCACTAAAAGCTGTCACCCTAAGAAATCCTTGCCCCTCACATAATTTCTGGACCATCATGGCTACAACATCACTGTTGCACTAACATACTTCCAACATATTTGCTAAGAAATGTCTTTCCTATCTTAAAAACTTGCAAATACAGCAGCAGAAGAGAACTATCCATCATTTGTTTAAAAATGCTGTTTTCTTCTTTGCAGCAGTGTCTGTTCCAAGCTGATTTCAAATTGCATGTGTTGTTTTTTTTTCCTATTGCCTCATTGTCTCTTACAATTTTAATCAAAAATTTTAAATGATAATCTGATACCTTTGGTGTTAAACCAAATATGATCAGGGATACTCTTAAAGCCTCTAAGTATAGGGTACTTTCACATACCTCCATATTGTAGATCAGATTCTACTACCGTCCCGCATTTTTTATCAATATCTTGCTCCAATTGCTTTCTATTTATCCTCGGTACATATATGGGTACCTAAGGGCAACTGACAGCCAATGGTATGGCTGCACAGTGCTGCATTGTGTAGAGATTCCTGAACTAGCTCTGAGCAGGTTCTTTCAAGTACTAGAACCATTATAACTGCATTATAGCACACTCAGCAGCATTAATTGGCTCTGCTGAAAAGCAGGTTTCGGGGCTAGGTGGGGCATCTAGCATGTACCACGCAGACCTTCTGTGAGTGTATATTTGATATTTAATGTATTTATCCTTCCAACATCATTCTGAGGCAGGGAGCATGAGTCAAAGAGCAGCTCTACTCATGCCAGAGATCACTCGGGAAGTCTCTGGCAAGGTGGAGTGTTGGGTCCAGGTTTCCCAAGTTCCAGCTTGATGCAGTAATTCCCAGGGATTCAGGTTTGCTTTGGAAAAACGCAGATTTTCTCCTTTTAAAGGAGAAAAACGCAGGAAGCCACAGGTTTCTCCTTGCTGGCTGGCAGAGTTCCAGCCTGCAAGGTGCTGCTTGGGGTTGGGAAAAGCAGGATGCAGGGGGCACCAAATGTATGTGTGCGCATACACACGTGGCAGCCAGGCAATGTAGTGGAGAGCAGCCCCAGCTAAGTCTTATGGGGTGGGAGGGAGGGACACACACCTGAGATTTCTGCACACACAGGAAGGACACCACCACCACCACCAAGGTGCACCCTCTGTCTGCCTGACAGCAGTAGTGAGCACAAGTCCACACCTTTACCACTGCTGTACCTCATCTTGGTAGCCTTGATGGTGCAGCACTCCCTCCAGTGCCAGGTCCTGTGTGCTGGGCCATGGAAGAAGCTCCTGTCCAGAGGTGGTCCAGCCTGGCTGCATCCCCATATCCTCATTTTGGGTGTTGAAATCTTGGGGGGCACATGCTCCCCAGCCCTGCTGGTGCCCTCACTTCTGACCTGCTGCCCCTAGTGTGCAAAGAAGGGGGTGCTGTGGGTTGGGAGTGAGGGGCATTGGCAGGGCTAGGGGGTTGTGGGTCAGGAGTGGGAGGCAACAGTATGGGCAGTCATCAAGCATATCGGGACTGCTCAGTGCCACAAAGCAGCAGGGGGGGACAGCCACAGTTGGACCCATGTCCTGGTGAGTGAAGGGGGTAGAGGGAGCTGTGGCTTTCCCTGATGCAATCAAATGTTAATATATATAAAAAAAAAAATTAAAAAATCAGTTGAACACTATTTTATTGAAATATATATATATATATAATATTAAGGATTTATCAGTTGAACACAATGTTTTACTGAACTGTTTAAAGAGAGAGAGAGAGAGGTGGATTTGGGGGAGGGGGCGCGGTATTCAGAGAATTTGGGACTTTTTAAATGGAGAAAACCAGCCTCCCTGCTATTCACTGACTAATCATCCTTCCTCTTGCTTCAGTGGGTTGCTATTCAAAACAAGTAAGTCAAATTCTGCCCATCTTGAAGTGCTTTTATGAATTGTGAATACTGAAGAAATGAATGTTACTTATAATCTAATAGTACGCAGTAAAACTATTCCAGGCCTGATTCTGATATGCTCTACTCATATTCAGTAGCATCTTCTGCTAGGTAAATTAGATATATTGGAATCTAGCCCTTCAGGATTAGAAGAGTAAAGACAAATGTCCCTGTAGGAAAAATACCCTGTAGATATCTCCAGTTTAGGGGCTTGGCATCTACAGAGCTCTGCTGATTCGATGATTGTGTTCTTCTGCCCAATGTCTTTGCGATGCTGCAACTTGGTTTCTAGTTGGCTTTGACTGCTCTGCCATGGCAACAATTACAGGGAGCTGAATCCAATAACGGGGAGCTTGCTGTTAAACTGGCCCAGCGTTTTTAGAAGCAAACTTATTTGGAGACCATCCCCTGCTGTAATAATGGTTGCGGTTCTACCTACATTTCCCAATGGGTCTAGAGATGACAGTCCCTTGTGGGACGGTGTTCCCAACCAATCCGACTGCTGCACAGTGTATTAGAGGGCTGGCGTCCTTCCAATTTTGAAAATCCATTTCTTAGCTTTTTTTTTTTTTCTTTTTTCCTAATAGACTCCACAAAAGGAGCAAGTAAACCTTGAATTTCTCAGAAAAGGTTCTTTGGGTGCATATCAGATCTCTTATTAGACCAATTTAAATAGTTGGAAAAAAAATTCTTAGCAACTTTCAGGTTTTCACTGCCTCATGACGAAGAGGTTGACTTCAAAATTCAAGCATGTCGGGGCCGAGGGGCTGTGGCCAGCAGCCCGGGCACGTTGGCCGGGGAATAGGTCGGCACGGCGAACTAGAATTAGGCACGGATGCGTAGAGGTTGATTAAAGATTATTTTACTTACACTAGATGGTCGCGGTGCAGGCAGGAAAACTTTCTTGAGTTGCAGTTACAAAGCGAAAAGAAAACTCGAACAAGACTTGCAGAAAACTCGAGCCTCTTAAACACGAACAAGACCCGTAGAAAACTCGAGCCTCTTGAAACAACCCAGACAGAGCTCTGGATACACTCACACGAAGTTTGCTAGGCTCCGTGGACCGACCGAAAGCGCGCAGGGAAGGGTACGTCGAGGGATCAGGCAGCGAAGGGGAGAGGCTAGAGGGTGATCAGGCCCCTGTATCCTCTTTTAAGGCACACGCGGAGGTTGTTAGGCTCCACCGTGCGCTTAGAGTTCTTCACGAGATGGATGTGAAGTTCTCCTCCAACTTGGGCGGAAACTGCTCAAGCCTCTTATACGGCTATAGCCGCCACGTGGGAATAATTTAGAAACAGCCAATAGTGGGGAACAAATTTACATACGGGTGACGGGAACTCCTTTGCACCAGGGTTTTCTCTCTGCAACTGAGAATTGCACCGTGCAAAGAAAGCTCCACGTGGCAGGAAATAATTCTGCAGTGCTGAAGCGCACACACAAAATCATACCCTTCGGGTCATGACAAAGCAGTGTTCAGGTGCCAAACGTTCACAGCTGCAACATCTGGTCCAGTTTGTATCTTGAGTAAAAAGTATTTCATGTTTCTTCCTGTCTTTTTGTGGAGACAAGAGAATGGATGAGAGGAAGTCAGTGCGTGTTCACTTCTTACTGGTTTTCCAGTGCTCTGGAGTAGTTTCTTAAAAACTTGTTAAACCAAAACCTACTTTGGACACAATGATGAGCTTTGTACCACCGAACTCAGAGCTGGAAGCTCCAGAACTCAAATCCTGGCACTGGTTTTTGCTATCTGGCTGCTTCCTCTTGTGTAACTAGGTTAATACTTACCTCACAGGCAGCATTAAGTAGTTATTCAAGGGTAGGTCTATACATTGCTGGATGGTGTGCTACTGTGACGTAGTGCTCTTGTGTCTACATGTGATCGCCAGCTACGTTACCATAGTGGCGCACTCCCCGGGTATAGTGTGCCGCTACGGCAATGTAGCGGCAAAATCAAACCATGCAATGCATGCATGGAGCAGTAACTGCCATGCTTTAGTACTTCCAAAAGGCAGTACTAAAGCGTGATGCTGTAGCAACGTCACCATACAACAAGGACAAGGGATTAGTGCGCACCTCGGGCTCAAAAATATCCAGCACACCTACTGGCTTGGAAGTGACCCTCTCAGCAGCACAGAAGTGGAAAGTCATCTCAGAGTCATAATGGACTCCAAGATGAGCATGAGTCATCAGTGTGACAAAATCAACAGCAGAGCTAACCACACTTTATCATGCATTAGCAGATGCATGACAAATAGAACCAAGGAGATTATGTTTCCCCTCTATGCGGCATTGGCCAGACCACAGTTGGAGTACTGCGTCCAGGGCACCGTGCTTCAAGAAGAATGTTGATCGACTCGAGAGGATCCAGAGAGCCACTCGTATGGTTACGGGCTTACAGGACAAGCCCTGTGAGGAGAGACTGAGGGACCTGGACCTCTTCAGCCTCCTGCAAGAGAAGTCTGATCTTGTGGCCACGTACAAATTCATTAGGGGGATGCAGCAAGGAATTGGAGATGCTCTGGTCCCTAGGGCACCTCTTAGGGTTACAAAGAATAATGGTCACAGACTGACAGAGAGCAGGTTTAGGCTAGATATCAGGAAAAATTTCTTCATGGTAAGGGTGGCCAAAATTTGGAATGAGTTTCTAAGGGAGGTGGTGCTCTCCCCTACCTTGGGGGTCTTTAAGAAAAGGCTGCATAGGCATCTGGCTGGGGTCATCAGACCCCAGTGCACTTT